CCTGAGCATCTCATGAGAAAGGCCCAGTACACTTTCTATCAGAGCACAATTTGGAAGTTCTGTCATTTCTTTGGAAAGCTGTGGTTGTGGATGATCATTAGAACAGCACTTGGTTTTTCCCTGGCAGTCCACCCACTGTTTTTAGTTGTCTGAGTGCTTTCTTTGACATTCTATCTGTTCTGCAGATGTGAAGATTTGAAATTACTTCATTTATAGTATGAGTTGGGTTGCAGTCTTTTTTTTTTTGTTTCCCTTTTGGAAATTCTTCTTCATCCACAAAGAATTCCAGATTCAGACATTATTCATCTATGTCTGGAACACTTAAAATCTCACGAGCTTGCGTATGTCTTACCTCTTTCCACCTTGAGAATATTCCAAATGCTGCCATAGATGAAGTCAGTTTTATCATATCCTTGCTGCTTGCTTCCTTTATGCACCTTACTTAAGGCCTCATGTGCCTTACTAGAGAGTTAAATAAGTAAATTTAGTATACCCATACTACATATGTTTTATAATACAGATTTTAATTTTCATTAAAAAAATTTTTTAATTCCAGCATATTATGGGGGTACAAATGTTTAGGTTACGTATATTGCCTTGGCCCCACCCAAGTGAGTCAGAGCTTCAAGCATGTCCATCCCCTAGACAGTGCACACTGAATCCATTAGGTGTGTGTATACCCATCCCTTCCCCCCCACATTTGTCCGACACTCCATGAATATTATTACTGTATGTGAACTTAAGTGTCGATCAGTTAATACCAATTTGATGGTGAGTACATGTGTTGCTTGTTTTTCCATTCTTGGGATACTTCACTTAGTAGAATGGGTTCCAGTTCTATCCAGGATAATACTAGAGGTGCTATATCACCATTGTTTTTTGTGGCTGAGTAAAACTCCATTGTATACATATACCACATTTTATTAATCCACTCATGTATTGATGGACACTTGGGTTGTTTCCATATCTTTGCAATTGTGAATTGTGTTATTATAAACATTCAAATGCAGATGTCTTTTTTATAGAATATCTTTTATTCTTTTGGATATATGCCCAGTAATCAGATTGCTGGATCAAATGGTAGTTCTACTTGTAGCTCTTTGAGGTATCTCCATATTACTTTCCACAGAAGTTGTACTAGTTTGCAGTCCCACCAGCAGTGTGTGAGTGTTCCTGTCTCTCCACATCCAGGCCAACATTTGTTGTTTGGGGACTTTGTGATAAAGGCCATTCTCACTGGAGATAAGTGATATCTCATTGTGGTTTTGATTTGCATTTCCCTGATGATTAGAGATGTTAAGCATTTTTTCATATGTTTGTTGGCCATTAGTCTGTCTTCTTTTGAAAAGTTTCTGTTCATGTCTTTTGCCCACTTTTTGATAGGGTTGTTTGATTTTTTTATTGGTGATTTTCCTGAGTTCTATATAGATTCTAGTTGTCAGCCCTTTATCGGATGTGTAACATGTATAACACTCCATATTCATGGAGTGTCAGACAGATGTGGGGGGGAAGGGATGGGTATACACACACCTAATGGATTCGGTGTGCACTGTCTAGGGGATGGACATGCTTGAAGCTCTGACTCACTCGGGTGGGGCCAAGGCAATATACGTAACCTAAACATGTTACACATTTCTCCCATTCTGTGGATTGTCTGTTTGCTCTCGTTATAGTTTCCTTGGCTGTACAGAAGCTTTTAATTTGATCAGGTCCCATTTATTTATTTTTGTTGTTGCTGTGATCACCTTGGGGTCTTCTTTATAAGTTCTTTGCCTAGGCCAATGTCTGTAAGAGTTTTTCCAACATTTTATTCTAGAATTCTTGAAGTTTCATGCCTTAGCTTTAAGTCTGTTTTCCACTGTGAATTGATTTTCGTGAGAGGTGAAAGGTGAGGATCCTGTTTCAGTTTTCTACATGTGGCTATCCAATTTTCCCAGCACCATTTATTGAATAAGGATTCTTTTCCCCAGTGTATGTTTTTGTCTGCTTTGTCAAAGATTAGATGGCTATATGTGGATGGTTTTATATTTGGGTTCTCCGTTCTGTTTCATTGGCTATGTCTCTGTTCTTGTGCCAGCGCCGTGCTGTTTCAGTTACTACAGCTTTGTGATATAGCTTGAAGTCTAGTAAATTGATGCCTTCCAATTTGTTCTTTTTGCTTAAGATTGCTTTTGCTATACAGGGTCTTCTCTGGTTCCATACGAAGTGTAGAATTATTTTTTCTAGATCTGGGAAAAATTATGTTGGTATTTTAATAGGGATTGCATTGAATCTGTAGATCACTTTGGGTAGTATAGATATTTTAACAATGTTGATTCTGCCGACTCATGAGCTTGGAATATATGTTTTTCTCATCAGCTCATGGGACATTCTCTAAGATTGACCATATCCTAGGCCACAAAGCATGTCTCAAAAAATTTTTGAAAAATAGAAATTATACCATGTATCTTCTCAGACCACAGTGGAATAAAATTAGAAATCAACTCCAACAGAAACTCTCATCTTTACATGAAATCATGGAAACTAAAACAACCTTCTGCTAAACGATTATTGCACTAAGGAGGAAATCAAAAGATTCTTTGAACTAAATCGTAAAGGAGACACAAGTTATCAAAATTTGTGGGACACAGCTAAAGCAAAGCATTTCCTTAGAGGAAAATTTATATCCATAAATGCCTAATTCCAAAGACAGAAAGATCACATATAAACAATCTAATGAATCATCTTAAAATCCTGAAAAAGGATTTTAATTTTCATAAAAAGGAATTTCTCTATACTAAGTAGAAAAAACAAATGATAATTTAATCTCACTTTTGTTTTAAAATATATACATAAAAAGCTCCATGTCTTTGTTATGTATGTATATATGTATATTTAAAGCCCAAAAGGATATTTACAAAAATGTTCATGTTGATCCTACCTCTAGCTGTGATCATTGTTTTCCTCTTTGTATTTCTTTTGTATTTCTTTGTATCTCTTTGTATTCTTTGTATTTCTTTGTGTCTCTCTTCACTATTTTTTTTCCAGTGTATCTTATTTCTGCAGTCATTAATTCTATCTGTACAAGCAATTTTTTTTACCCTAACCTTTTCCTTCTACATCAGATTCCTGGCCATCCTCTAGAACTGCCCACTTGGTTCTGAAGACCTTCTGTGATCACTTGTATCAAAATGAACTTGTCGGCTGGGCGCAGTGGCTCATACCCATAATCCTAGCACTCTGGAAGGCTGAGGTGAGAGGATCATTTGGGGTGAGGAGTTTGAGGCCAAATGATCCTCTCAGCAAGAACGAGACCCCGTCTCTACTAAAAATAGAAAAAATTAGCTGGGCCTGGTGACATGCGACTGTAGTCTCAGCTACTCGGAGGCTGAGGCAGGAGGATCACTTGAGCCCAGGACTTGGAGGTTGCTGTGAGCTAGGCTGATGCCATGGCACTCTTGTCAGGCAACCGAGAGAGACTGTCTCAAAAAAAAAAAAAAAAAAAAAGAATTTGTCAGAGAAAGAAAGGATGTAAAAATCATGTTTTAAAAAGAATTATCACTAGAATGTGATCTCCATCAGGGCCCAGGAGGGTTAAATAAATATCTATTTAATGAATTAACCTATTCTTTTTTGTCTCATTTCTTTTATCTCATAAATTTTTAGAAGACAGAAACCTTGTTTGTTTTCTATAATGCCGTGAACAGTTATGGTACTTAATATAAATTAATGAATAAAGTCTTTTTTAAAAAATAGATCCATAATTTACTTAATAAAGGTAAATTTAAGATCTGTTTTCAACTTTGACCAGAATTTGTACTTACATAGGAATATAAAAGGCACAGGATTGCAAGATAAAAAACTTATGTTCAGATCTTGCTCATAGTTTTATGGTCGTAGTTACTTAAGGCCCTTGGCTGCCTTCATTTATAGCCTCACTGATTCTCTTCTAAAGTCTGCAGAGGCCAGCTACCTAGTTGGTTTTTTTTTTTTTTTTTTTCACTTTTCCAAGTCTGTCCTCCGCAGTGCTAGAAATAGTGATATACCTACAGTATAAATCTGACGTTGTCTCCCCCTGGCCCCCAGTCTGTAACCTCTCAGGGGCTCCCTGATGCTATGTTGCCCCTGCCCCACCCCTTCAACTTTGGCTCCTGGAAACCTGTCTTCAGACTTGACACTTGAAATACTGGTAGCTGCCACATATCTCATGCTGCCTTCTGCTTTTGCTTTCTCTGCCCACAAGGTGTTTTCCCTTCCTTCCTGCAGCCAACTTACTTCTGCCCTATTGCAGGATTGGACTTGGCAGTCTGCCTCTCTGGGTTGCTTTCCTTGACCTAAAGCTGATGTATCCTCCTTTTCTGCCCACTCACTACTGTCAGCTGCTTGAGGCAAAACCATAAGTTCATAGTTCTTTGTCTGGAAGGGAACCTAGTCTGTAGTGGAACTCAAATGTTTATTAAACTGTGTTGTAAAGTTCATATGTTCTTCTAAATTGTCCAAATGATTTTGACCCATAGAATGTGATCTGATTTTTGTATGACCTCCTCCAAAATAGGAAAAATATGTAGAAAGGGAGAATATATGGATTAAAGTAACTTAAAATACTACCAGACAGACACATAATTATTGTTAATATTTTGGACTATATAATAGAGAATTGTTTTTTAAAAAGTTATAAAATGGGCCCAGGCATGGTGGCTCATACTTATAATCCTAGCACTTTGGGAGGCCAAGGTAAGGAGGATCACTTGAGGTCAGGAGTTTGAGACCAGCCTGAGCAACATAGTGAGACCCCCATCTCTATAAAAGATAGACAGATTAGCCAGGCATGGTGGCATGTGCCTGTAGTCCCAGCTACTCATGAGGCTGAGGCAGGAGGATCACTTGAGCCCAGGAGTTTGAAGTTGCAGTGACCTATGATGGCACCACTGTACTCTAGCCCAGGCAAAAAAAAAAAAAATTATAGGCTTTTCCTAATTCAAACCAAGAAAAAACAAATTTTGCTTTCTCATGTTTTCTAGATCCCAAAGCCATCTTTCATCATGTTTTTTCTGAAGAGAAGATGAATTCCCTGTGTGGGAAGTAACTTGACCAAGTTACTGAGCTGGTCAGTACAATAGCAGAAACTGGGACCAGGAGCTCCTGACTGCCCACCTGGTGCTTTTTCCCCTCATCATCTTTCCTATTTCTCCACTGCAGTAAAAGTAAGTTTTTAAGCACTTCCAAATTCCCATATGCTCAAATTATGCCTGCTGCTGAAATGATCTTGTATTACTCTTAGTCTCATTCAGACATTAGCTTAAACCTAAACCATTAAATATTCTTTCATACTCATGTGTACAGTTTCTTTGAGCATCAGAAATCTTCCCTTGTAAGAAATTTCTTAATTTATTTTCTCAACTATTTTTGAAGTGAACACAAAAAATAAAATAGTCCAGGTCTCTTTTTTTGAATCTCACATGTAGATCTAATGGTATATGTTTTGTATTATTCTAAACTGTTCTCTGGGAAGCAGTTTCCATAGTGAGTCATCCATCCAAGATTGCCTGTGTTTTCCAGGCACAGTTATAGTTTTATTATTCTTCAATGACTCACTATTTCTGAATCATCACACCTTGTGTACTGTTAAATAAAAAATTTTCAAGACAATTTTTACAATTTCTTCCAGTCTTACTCTTCAAATGCCCACTTTAGCGACATAGATATTTGACCAGTTTTCTCTTGTGTCTATGATTTATGTTGATCATTTCTTCTTGAACTGAACCCTTTCATTAGCTGAGATAAGCAACGGAATTTCTTTACCTCATACTCTCTGCTCCAGATGTTTCCTGAAATGGAACAAGTAAATAGCAACATAATATGTGTAACACTGTTCTCTATTTTCCTTTATTACATTAATGTTTAAGATTTTATTAACTTCCCAGATTTCTCCATGAAATTAGGGAGAGACACCTATAAAAGCAAAGTATAGCTATTATTTTTGTTGGTAGACAAAATCTTTGGAATTCAGCATGTTGGAAGAATGAAACACTCTTCTCTCTTGATTTCTGTGCCATATTTGGCTGGTTGTCCTCCTGCTTTTGAAAATTCACTGTCTTCTAGCTTGCATTCCTCTCCTTGCCAGCCTTCCTCAGAGTTTTGTCCTCAACCCTTTTCTATGCTTGCTCAGTCTCATCCACTCTTGTAAATATAAAACCTTTATCTGGTGCTTCCTCCCAGATCTTTATCTTCAGTTCCTATCTTTTCACTGACAGGAATATCCAACTGCATGGGGAATATCTTCTCCAGAATGTTCCACTGAAACAACCCATGCCAGAAGCTGAATTCATCTCCCCTGCACCTTTGCCCCTTAGCTATCCTAGCACACAGTTATAATCAGACCCGAGCTTCATTGCCACATGTCCCTAGAACCCATTTTTAATTTTTAAAATTTATTACTAAACATTATATATTATATTTAAAGTGTCAAATAATTCCAAAAGCCTTTTTAAAAATATCAGTTGCTACTCCCACCTAGTCCTGCTCCTCAGAGACAACCACTGTCAATTTTTTCTTAGCTATTTCTCCTGTTTTTATCTTTTAAATGCATGTATTAATACATTGCTAATTCATTTGTTAATTTTAAACACTAAGTCTTGCCTTCCTAGTGTGAATTTAGCTCTCTCACCCTATTCTACCACATTAACAAAAGAAAGGATAAAAATTGTGTAATCATCTGAATAGATCCAGAAAAAGTATTTGATAAACTTATATACCCATATGAGATTTTTGGAAACTCTCAACAAACTGTAAATAGAAAGGAACTCTCTCAACCTGATGATGAATATCTATTTAAAAAAAAAAACCTTATAGCTATCATCATATTTAATGGTGAAAGACTGAATACTTTTTCCCTAAGATCAGCTACAGGAATTCCTAAATTCATTACTTCTATTCCATATTGAAACTCCTGGTCAGTGCAAAAGGCAGTAAAGATTGGAAAGGAAAAAGGAAAAGTATCTTTATTCCCAGATGACATGATCATATAGAAAATCCCAAGGTATTTACACACACATAAAAACTATAATAAATGAATTTAGCAAGGTGTCATATGACAAGGAGAATCAACTATATTTCTATATGCCAGCAACAAACAATATGGAAAAGGAAATTAAAATAACAATACTATTTACATTAGCATGAAAACTTGAAATATTTGGGAATAAATTTAATGAAAGTACTACAAACATTGCTGAGAAATTAAAGACCATTGAAATAAATGAGAGATATACCATGCTTGTGGATTGAAGATTTATTATTAAGATCTCCAGGCCAGGTGCGGTGGCACACACCTGTAATCCTAGCACTCTGGGAAGCCAAGGCGAGAGGATTGCTTGAGCTCAGGAGTTTGAGAACAGCCTGAGCAAGAGCGAGATCCCCGTCTCTACTAAAAATAGAAAAATTAGCTGGATGTGGTAGCACATGCCTGTAGTCCCAGCTACTGGGAAGCTGAGGCAGAAGGATTGCTTGAGCCCAGGAGTTTGAGGCTGCAGTGAGCTACCACGAAGTCACTGCACTCTACTCAGGGTAACAGAGTGAGACTCTGTCTCAAAAAAAAACCCTCCATTGCCACCAAGTGGCAATTTAAATTAAATGAAATTCTGATCAAAATTCCAGCAAGCTTTCTATGTAAAAGTTGGCAAACTGGTTCCATCATTTATCTGGAAGTGCAAAGGACCTAGACTAGTCAAAACAATTCTGGAGGGGCTAGGGGGGAAGGAAGGTATACATTACTATTTTAAGACTTACTATAAAGCTATAGTAATTAAGATAGAATGGTATTGTGTATATATAGACAAAAGAATAGAGAATCCAGAATTATACCCATATATATGGTTATTTGCTTTTCAACAAAAGCTCCAACATAATCCAGTGAGGACAGAATAGTCTTTGAACAAATAGTGCTGGATAATCTTCAAACTCAACTTCATAACATAAGTAAAAATTAATTAAAAATAGATTAGAGTCTTAAACATAAAAGCTGAAACTATAAAACCATAAAAAATCTTCATGACCTTAGGGTAGGCAAAGATCTTAAGATGGTATACAAATGTATTAAGTATAAAAGAGAAATTGATTAATTGGATTGATGAAAATTAATTAGTAGGATTAAAACCTTCTATTCTTCAAAAACTGCTCTGCTAAGAAAATGTGGAAAGAGAAGCCACAGACCTGGAGATGATATCTGTATCTAAAATATATAAGGAACCCTTAGAATTCAATAATAAAAGATATCCCAAAACATTTGAATAGATACTTCACAAAAGAAGATATATATGAATTTCTAATAAGCATGTGAAAAAATGCTCAACATCATTAGTCATCAGAGAAATGTGAATTAAAGCCACAATGAGATACCACTTCATACTCACTAAGATGGCTAAAATAAAAGAAACTGACAAGTATCTGAAAGGATGTAGGGCCACTAGAACTCGCAAGTGTTGCTGATAAGAGTGTAAAATGGTAGAACCACTTTGGAAAACAGTTTTGTAGGTTCTTATGAAGTTAAATGTACACTTATGGCTCAATAATTCCATTGCTAATTACCCAAAAGAAATGAACACATATCTACAAAAACACTTTTACTTGAATGTTCATAGTAGCTTTAATTTGTAATTGCCCAGACTAGGAACAACCCAAATGTTCATTAACTGGCAGATAGATAAAGCAAAAGTAAAAAGAAATGCACAACTGATACATGCAATAACATAGATGAATCTCAAATCATGTGCTAAGTGAGAGAAACCAGAAAAATATACATATTGTATGGTTATATTCATATGAAGATCTAGAACTGGCGAAATTTATCTATAGTAATGAGGAATCAGATCAGAGGTTGTTGGATGTTGTGGGCAAGGGATATTGACTGGAAAAGGGCATGGGTATAGTATTGTTTTTAAGGCAGTGGTTGCATTGTCCTTATCAAATTTCATTGGACTATACACTTTAACATATTTTTACTGTATGTAAATTATATATCAATAAAGTTGATTTAAAATAAAAGTAAGGTTCTAAAAAGCTGAAAGGAAGCTATGTGTTCATGGGCAACATTTATCAGTTGATGGGGTTCACTGTGAGGTGATGATGTAGTTAGATGAGATTTCTATTTCTCCAGATAAGGTTTCTTTAATCCACAGCGGGAACTAGGAGCTAGAGGTAATAAACCTGGTTTCTGTTGACATGGACCTCCTTTACTTTCAGTCTTTTACTACCCTCTGTCTGTTGCCCCTGGTGTTGATACTTTTCTGGTTCAGTTTTTTCCCCTCAGCAAATAAACTTCCTGTCTCGGCAGGGTGAAAGAGGATGATTTTCTGGGTTTGTGGAATGGGAATAACGAGGTCTATTTCTTTGCAGACTTTCAGACAAGCCCCTCTATAATTAATCTTCTATCCTACCCAATTTTCTGTAGTACCTGCTACCACCAAACCTTAGCTTTTGGGGGGTTGTGTGGGATGAATTGGTTTGCTTGTCATCAGCATCCCTACTCTGCTAAGTCATTTACCATTCACCTTCTCTTCTTTGTCTTCATATATAGTAATTTGGAGTTACAGGTGTCTTCTAGGTTTTTAAAGATGGAGTTTGCATTCTTGTATTTTGTTCTTATTGTTTGGAGCAGACCTGTAAAGCCCATAATTCATTTTTTAATTTTTAACTTCAGCAATGCCAAACTCCATATAATTCTCCAAACACACAAGCCTTTTCATATCTCTGTGCCTTTGTAGAATTTCCTTTCGCTTACAAGGCCTAGTCTAATCCTTTCTTCACCTGGTAAGGCTCTCATCTTTGAAAATCCAGTTCTGCTCCCTCCTAACTTTCTTGTCTTCTGCTTTTGAACCTTTGTTTCACAAAAGGTCCATTTCATCAGGGATTGCCATATAGCAGTTTACTATGAAGGAGTTTTCCAGGAGCCACTGGAAAGTACTTGTTACAATAATTGTAATCAGCTTACAGTGGAAGTGATAGTAAATGCTTAATAAATATTTGTTGAACTCTGAATATGCATATGAACCACTTAGCTAGAAATTGGGAAAACAGACTCTGGTCCTTTGCAGGGATCAAAGAACCAGGAGAAACTAAAGGCCGTGAGGGGTAGGGCAGGCAGCATGCAACAAAACCTGAGATGGAATAAATATAAACATTCAGAATAATTATAATTTCCCAAGAA